GTTGCTAGTTAGCCAACCAGCAACGGGCATGAAACTGTATGCAGATGGAGAAGGGCAATCACCCTTAATGGGCGATCAATGGTGAAGGGCAATCACCCTTAATGGGCGATCAATGGTGAAAGGCAATCACCCTTAATGGGTGATCAGGATATGCATAGGGGATTAAGGGGGGGGGGAATACAAAGAACACAACACCTTTGTCAACCTCCAGCTCGAATATCCAAATAAAATCCAGGATATCTTTCATTTCTTAAAAGTCCTACTGGTTTATTGACCACATGATGTGGTATAGGTGCAAAAAGATCTTCAAAACAAATTATGCTGGAGAAAAATAGAGCAGACAGTAGAATGATATCCCAATACTATTTGCATCAATCAAAAAATATTACTTTAAACAACAGAGTAGTCAAAAAGAAACCCAGATGGAAATGACAGCAGATCTTCTCACTTGAAATGATATCTTAGAGATATCCAGCATGGTTACAGACCTCATATTTCAGCAATAGTAGCATCTGCTTTCTTAAACAAAGCATCTATGTTTAAATTCAAAAATGCAAAATAAAATCCTGCAATTGTTCCAAAATGAAGAATGTGGTTCAAATGATTCTGTCTCTTAAGGACCTTGTGTTGTTTTTATGAAAGAAAAAGCATCCACATTGTAGCAAAAAAATATTTTTGTACATAAATGTAGAAATGTATTTCTCTCTCTTTCAAGGAGCAGACATGGAGACCAAGAAGGCAATGGCTGAAGCTTATGAGGAATCTCCCAGCTCTCTGCTGAACTTCCACAAAGAAAGAATATATTTTATTTCCCTATTTTATTTACATTGAAACATCATGCATGTAATCTCATCATCCACAAATTTGAAATCACATTACTTTTGCATTTGACAATGATGTGTAAGCAATATAGTAATTCATATGGTGAAATTTGCTAAGTTCACATTATAGCTTCTCTCTTCAAATATGAGATGTGCCCCCTGCTAAACAGCTCTACCGCCCTGTTTCTAACAACAATACATAAAGCATTTAGTTTCATGCTAGCATCCATGTTTAATTCCTCAATCAATTCCTTGTTTAATACTGAGTCCTGATGGTGCAGTGGTTAGAATGAAGTATTGCAAGCTAACTCTGCCCACAGCCAGGAGTTCGATCCTGACGTGCTCAAGGTTGACTCAGCCTTTCATTCTTCCAAGATGGTAAAATGAGGACCCAGATTGTTGGGGCAATATGCTATTTATAAACCGCTCAGAAAGTGCTGTAAAGCAATATGGAGCAATATATAAAGTCTAAGTTCTATTGCTATTAATAACCAAGTTAGAAATATTGTTCTTATTAGAATCATCTTATTTAGGTTTCCTTCCACTCTCACTCTACTTTAAAAGATATAAAAACAAATTTTCCTGCAAAGATTTATCAAGAGATTTAACCGCGCTCTCTTGAGACCTTCCCATGTGAATGTCTTTTTTCTCTGAGGACAACTTTCTAATTATCAGGTATAAACAGCCCAAGGGGATGTATCTTAACCATAATGTTAAGCGCTTCAAGAAAATTGTGATCCAAACTTTTCTTTAGCCAAGGGAAAAGCAACTGACGACAGTTTTGAACAAAGAGCACTGAGCTAATCTTTATTTGGGTAAGGAAATAAATATTGAAAAACCAATAGTGATTGTATAACCTAGTGGAAAGCAAATAAGAAATAGGATAACAGCCACTTCTTTTTGGCACAGCAAAGAAAGGTGGAATGTGAAATAGTCATGCATTTATCAAATTTACATAGTCACCCATCTCGTGAAAAGTGACTTTGAATTTAATGCAGTTCTGAATTGTAGACAACAGTGCATCATCGCATAGTGCTGTTGCATTTATATTGTCAGGCATACCACTTTGGTGCATAAACTTACTTTAATCCCATTCTCTAAATCTCTAGCAGAAAATCTTGCTTGACAGAATGAATTCATTAAACCTAGACAGGACTTTGTATAGAGTACTAATTTTATTATAAGCTCCTTATTGTATTTAACTCAGTTTCAACTCTAAATTATCATACTCTCTCTCTCTCTCTCTCTTCTACCATGTAATCCCTGGATAAATATGAATTTGTTGTATTTTCATGCTCTAGCTTTCTCCAGACAGCACATCTCAGCTAGGTGAATAGGATCCTACTCAGCTCTGTTTCCTGATCTTCTGACCTGGAGATGTAAGTCATTGAACCTGGGGTTTCAACATGCAATGTGTATGTCTGCCATCTTTCAGGTTCCCCCAGATAGACTACAAATAGACTGTTTTGCTGGACAATTAAATTGATTTGACAATGAAATTTAGAACTAGGGACCATCTGGTGCTCAACATATCCATTATAGCAAAAGTGATTATCTGACAGCCATGTGTGTGTGTGTGAGAGAGAGAGAGAGAGTGTGTGTGTACACACATACCCACACATGCCTTTATTTTGGTGATTGAGAGGGAACTGTGTGCAGAAAGGTCAGAGGGAAATAAAATGCAGGCAATGCAGATTGTAATGATATTTATTGACAATGGCTTTCAAGCAATAACCATGCCCAAGATTTAGTGCCATGTGATGCCAGATGCAAAGGAAGCAGATGACCACAGAAACTGCTCATGCAATAAATACATGTGATGTTTGAAAGAAAGGCATATGGATGTAACAGCATGGATAGCTTCCTGATTCAGGATGATGATTCTTTAGGTGAAACCTCTTCATTTTCTAAATTTGATATTTGCAGATGAAGGCTTTTTTCTTCATGCAAACAGCATCAATCCAACCCTTGTAACCTGCAATGAAAAAATGAAGCCCATTCATTTCTGCCCCTTTCCCCTCTTCAACATAGAGGGCGGGGTAAAAATATAAATAATAAATAAATAATAAATAAATATCATATTTCTAGGCAGACTTGTCGTTCACCTGTCATGAGATGGACAGCAATATAGACTAACTATGTACATATATACACTACATCATGATGCAATAGTAAATAAACTAAAAGCAGCTGGGTAAATTTTGTAGACCACATCCCTCCATACTCAAAGTGGTAAAAGAGGATAAACAAGAAGAACACCCAGACTACGAAAAGAGTTGGTGAATCCCTTGAGGTCTTGGGTCACCTCAGTTGAGATGACCATATGGATACTGCATCCTGATTACCAATTTATGTAAAAAGCTGCCTAATTATGGAATTAGGCTATGGATCTACTTAACATACCCTACACATAGTCCTCAGCTTATTGAAACTAGAATTTCCATTGCTTAGCAATGTGGTCATTAAGTGAGCTGAATCCAATTTTAAGATATATTTTTTGTTATGGCTGTTCAGCAAATCATATGGTTGTTAAGCAAATCCAGCTTTCTTCGTTGACTTTGCATGTTGGAAGCAAAAGTCAGTCATAAGACCCTGGGATACTGCAACGGCCATAAATGTATGCCAATTGCCAAGCACCCAAATTTTGATCTTTGGGATGCTGCAATAGTTATTAGTGTAAGGACCAGTCATAAGTCACTTTTTTTCAGTACTATCATAACTTCAAAGAGTTGACAAATGAATAATCATAAGCTTTATTCTCCAGATGGTCAACCCTGACTGCAGACTGCACAAAGTCTATGCAACCTTCTCTGAATGGAAAACCCACCTGTGGAGGCTCGGAGAGCAACGCAGTACTCAGAATTCCAAAGATTGTTGGGTTCTCCTCGCATCCAGTTCTTGTAATTGAAAGCAGACTCGTCAGTCCACCTCCAGATCCCATTCTGAAGTTACCAAGACAGAAGAAACACACACTAAATCCAAA